TTTTTGTATTATGATCTTAGTTCTCTTTGTTGCCCCAGTTTATTCTTTAGTCTAGTGCCTTAGTTTGGCTTTCTTGTATTCTCTTTAGTTTTCTGAGTATTTAGTAGCTGCCCTCTGTCTCCTTGTTATTGTTCTCTGTGTTTCTTAGTTGCTCTGTCTCCCCTAGTCAGGTCTGCGTCTATGTTACATTTCCTGTTTTACTTTGAAGGTCTGTGTCCTCCGTGAATATATTGAGTTTCGCTTCCCTTGGGTCTCGTTATGTCCGATTTCTCCCAGCTGTGCTCCCCTTCTGTGTCTCATTGCCCTCGTTATTTCCCAGTGTATTTAAGCCCTGTGTTTCTCTGTGTCAGTGTTGTGATCCCCCTCATGCTGTGTGTGCCTCCCTGTTCTCCCTGTGTGTGTTTTGTTCGATTCTTCTCAGTTTAGGTTTTGTAGGCGTTCTTTGTTCAGCAATAAAAGCTGCCATTTTGAGTTCAATCCCTTTTCTAGTGAATTTGCGTTCGAGTCCAATTACTGCCTGCACACAGCCAAAACATGACAAGTTAGTAGAGTTGCCAACCGTCCAGTAAAAAACGAAATCGTCCCATATTAAGAGAAAATACACAGTTTGTCCCGGACTTCAGCTAGAATGGAAAAAAGACGCAAAGCTGGAGTTATTCTGTCTTTACGCTGCAGCTGTTTCTCCCCCTCCCTCTCCTGTTGCTACTTCAATCATTAAAACTGATCTATGATCAGCTGATCGGCTTTTCTCTCTTGTTGGTTTATCTTCCACTTCCACGTTTAAGCTTGGTCAGCTGTTGTTAGAATTGATTTAATATTAATTTCTAGTATCAGCTGATGTTCACTGGAGCCACAGCTGTAAAAGCTGCTGGTCATGATATCGGTTTGGATATGTGGTGAGAGGAAAACATGAAGATGAAACCAGGAGATGTCCTTACTGAATCATCAGAGCTGAACAGGTGATGAACAGTGCACATCACTGTCACAACAGCGTTTGTTTTCATCCAAAGGCTTTATGGCTTTCCCTATAATACCTGGTGGGCCGGTCTCTAGTCAAAGTGCCTAGGCCCATTTTTTTGTCCCAGTCTGGGCACGACACACAGTGAATTAATCTGAGAAGGTGCATTAAAAAATAAATGGCCAGGCCAGCAGTGCACATCGCAAATTAGCTCGCATACACACATTAGTTGTGCTGCTTCTTAATGACGGTATCTTAGCTAACAACCCCAACTACCAGATTCAACTTGTAATTGGCTAAAAATAACTTACAGAATTCACAATGTGTTTTCAGGACTTTCAGGCGTATGGACCAATGTTTTCTTTTCTGATCAAACCAGAAAGCTTTAATGAGCAGTTGGATTCGTCTCGCATTAACTGGCTGAGTTAATGCCAGTTAATGTGACATCAAAATGCAGCTGATTGAAGTGAAAACCTCGACTCTGTGGGGGTCAAAGTTTGTAGAACTATGAACGCAGCTGGAATCCATAGCTGTGCGTGTTCATGGAGCTTGCATTTTCACCTGCTGGACATCACTACCTGACAAGTTTAACTGTCTTCAGAACATTGCAAAGGCCTTATTGACAGTATTTGGCTCTACATATCTATGTGAGCAGATTTTCTCTCACATGAGTGTCTGAATGTAGCCGTCTGAATGCTGGACACTCGGAGACCTGTGTCTCTGAGTGGGAGAGGATAGATCACATTAACATGTGTATCTCTGTATTAACAAACATGCCATATTGGCCCAGTTTATTTTTCTTATCATTGTTGTGAGAAGACCATAAATAGCATTTTTGCATTTTCTGTTGTATTTCATTTGCTGTTCTTGTTATGGATAAAAAGTGTCTTTTTTTTGTTTCAAAATAGCTGATAACTATTCACTGATAGCTGCCAACATCTGTGAACAAATATAATTCTATAAAGTTGTTCTATATAGTGCGTAACTGTTAATATAGAGCGTTATTACATTTATTGCTAATACAATCATATGGCACATTGACTGCTGAGGAAATTTGAGATGGCACTCATCATCAGAAAGACTGCCTACCCCTGGTGTAAACTGTGATGTTTGCACAGCCCAGTAATCGCTACGTTACATTGCAACAAAAATCTGCCCTAATTCTGCTGAATGTTTAGTCTTTTCCTGTTAGGATTGGGACAAGCTGTGGTGGAGCTGTTTTTCTTGTCTTTGTGCTTTCCGGTGGAGATGTGGGCGGACTCCTGCCTAACCACCAATCACATTTTCTCAGGCTGGCTGTTACACACCTGCAGTCTGTTATCATTATCAAAACTGTGTACTTAAGGGTCAGTATTGTGCCAGAAAGAGATTTCTGTTCTCTTTTTTTTTCTTTGTCTTTTACGTGTAATATCTTTGTTTATTTTGGTAAATGTACCTATTCTGCAAGTGTCATTATGACTCAGTGTTATTGTAGCTACATTATATTCAATCCAGTCCTTTGAGACTTTATAGCTGGATAAATAAAGGTTATATAAAAGTCATTTTGCCACAAACTGATTGCAGCTTCTGCCTTGTGACAGGAATGTTGTTTGTGGCTCAAAAATCCTTTTTATGATTCATGAGAGACATATTTGACATACGTATCACAGACTATAGGCCAACAAGTTATCTGCAGCAGTTTAAATATGACCAATCATTCTTTGGCAAATACTGGAAATCATTTTTTGGCTCTGGCTGTGGCGATGTCTTGTTTTTGTAAATACTCTGTCCTCTGCTTTGGCATTTGCCTGGTTTAGCTGTTTCCCCCATCAAGACAAAGTGGATATCAGTACTTACCTGCCAACCCACTCTCCACCGCTCACCACATGGCTCACAGAAGTCAGACTGCCTGCCTCAGCCTTTAACTGTCACCTCTTAAGTAAGAATGCTCTTCAGTCACACTCCGAGCCTGCCAGTCACTGCTAATCATCATTAATTTAATTCACTTAATGTACAGAATTCACCTGCATGCATGCTATCCCCCCCACCCTTTTGCATGAGTCGAGGAGCGTGTCAGGTTTCATTTCACTGTGTGTTATACTTGTATAACTATGCATGTGACAAATAAAGAACCTTGAACCTAAAACTCTCTCTCCTCTTCCAGATTCCAGCAGTCCGCCGCCCTTTGCTATTAAACATCTTCACTGTACATATACCAGCTCCATTTGTTTAAATAAACCATTTAAGCTTAACGTCAGTTGTTTGGGTCTGCTTTCTGGGTCCAGCCATTACCAGCCTGTGACATCTGCAGTAATCTCTCTCTGTGTATAGAAATCTTTGCTCCTGCAGCGATATACCACGGACCAGCCTGACTGCACATTTGTGCCTCCAAACCACCTGCACTGTGTGCGTGCCAAGTTACAGAAAGTGCGAGCACAAGTCACACTGGAAAGACACCAACACACACGCCATGATTGTAGCAAGTGTCAGATCAATTTCTTCTTTTAGTGTGTGTGCTCATTCTCGAGAAAGCCAAGCTTAAACTGTGTGTGTCTGTTTTTTCAAACCCACCAGGTAGGAACACAAAGTGAGTGTGCTTTAAGGCATTAGTACCAAAGTCTGATGGCTGGAAAGCACGCCGTTCCATGGAACAATTAATTCATCAGTGAAATATGAAATATTTCAGTCTGGACCAATAGAGGGCCAGACAGTCCCATCCTTGCCTGTTGCTTTTTGTTAGGCGTTATATTTGAATGTAATTGATGATTTTAAACATGTTTCCAGCCGAATTTGAAAAATTTCTACAGTTTAAGATTTAATTTACAGCAGCTGCTATTTCTAGCCTTTTACCTCATTAACACCAGTTGACCATTTTTATCCCATCATCCATGTTGCAGCTAAGATACACCATCTGTTAGAGGTCAGCAGAGACTCTGTGTTCTGGCTCCAGAGACCATAATGTGCCACAAGAGACTAAAACTATTCCCAGTGGAGACAGTGGACCGCTGTGGGGGTGGAGCAGGACAGATGAACCCCTCTACCGCTGAGTGTGAGATGCTGAAAGACACACGACTGAGTTTCTACATTTTTCAATGTTTGTCCATTTTGTGTGTTTTGTGCATTTTTAGCTCATATAATTAAGATGTTTGAAAAGCTCTGAAAAGCCTCTTTAAAAAGAAAAACAGGATTTATTAATGCATAATATTTTATACAAGGACGGATACAAGTGTTTCACCTGAGAGCACAAATTGGGACTGTCATGTTGATGTATGCTGCTTGTATTAACTGGATTGTTTCAGGTTTATAGGTTGTACATGATTGTGTCCCTGCTCCGACTGAGGCTGGTGTTAGCCCGAAGGGCAAAATGACATGCTGCTGAATGTCATTTTTCACATCCTCGGATGAAAAATGCACAAACAAACATACCATAAAACATATTAATGTGACGCTCTTGAATGTCATTGTTGATGTGTGGCACTGTTTGGAGGGCGACTGTATCATCAGAAGGCAAATGTCATTACAATTAAAGCTTTTAGAGGGGGAATGGAAAAGGTCAACAGGGCCTGCATTTACACTGGCTCTTCTGGAGGGAAAAAGGTAAAAAACAACAACCTTTAACTTTTGTTCTGAAATGTGTTCTCTGGAGAAAACACTCTCTGTTACACATCTTAAAGTATCTTTTATTCCATTAGCAGTTTAGAAGGATTTCAATGGCCAACTTGTTCATGCGTTATTGATAAAGTGCTTGCATCACGTGTGGGGTCAGTCCATCACTTTGCTATTTCTGACTACATGCCAGAAGCATCTCCAAGAGGTCCTCTTTACTTATCTCTGCCCTGTGTGTGTGTGTGTGTGTGTGTGTGTGTGTGTGTGTGTGTGTGTGTGTGTGTGTGTGTGTGAATAAGAAAGGGTCTCTACTCCTTATCAGTTTGTCCGTTACATTCTTGGCCCCAGTGGTCAAACAAAATGCCATTTATGGCCACAGGAGAGATACAGTACAGTAAAGTCCACAGTGTGCTCCACTGACCCACAATGCACCAGTGCTTTATAAAAGCCCACAGCAAGGACCTCTGGCTGGAGAGTAGCTTTGGTTGCCCACTGCTTCTGGTGTATTTTGTCAGTAGAGCCTATTGAAACACAATCTTGTTTTCTGAAGCCTGGTTGCTCAAAGAGTCAGACTGTGTTTTGGCATTGGTCCCTCAATATGGCATCGCTGACATCTTCAAGCCGCAGAGCTTCCTCATCGTACCGCTCGTCAGCACGCTACAGCACTTCTAGCTCTTACTGCACAGAGGGGTCTCTGGGTGGATCATCTGATTCACTGGATACAATTCTTGAGCCTTTTCTCGACTACGCCGATCATTCCAGTCTGTTTGGAGAGGAAGGCCCTGGAGGACCAAACTGTCTGGCCCCATTCAGAAGGCACAGCAGACCCTTCTATGGGCATGATGGTAAGGAACTCTTGTGTCAGTATAGGTTAATATATGCTACATCTGCATTTTTCTGGGTTTCTTCACACAGGGCTTTTCTTTTCTAAATTTAAAATTAAAACACTTTTTTCAACATCTTCTTACCTAATATTCGAATAAGGAAGCTATAAACACTTAGTTAGCCAAAAATACTGCACAAAAGATAATACTTTTTCTTAAACATAGTATAACTGTATTGAACATGCCCAGAAATGAACAACTGAGCTTATAAACTCATCAGAAAAGTGTTCGTAGAGGTCAAGTCAAAAAGCTATTTTTCCACAGACTTCTATAGGACTGGAGGTCTTTTTGCAACCACAGCTTTCGCCATCTGGTGGCCTTTCGCAGAGAATACAGGTTTAAGGAACTTCTGCACTTGCTTGGTTTTTCTGACCCAGAAGCTACATCCATGATTTATATGTCTATGTTTGCATCCCTGTGGAGTTACAACAGTGAGGAACAACTCTATAGCTCAGAGCACTGGAAGTCATTAATTACCTCAGGAGTTTAGTCATGGCAACTTATAGCTAGCTAAACTTTTACAATGTTTTTGGCCACAAAATACTGCAAAAAGAAAATGTTCCTGTGTAATTTTGTGCATTTTTGAACATGAAATATTGCAAATTTTGCTATTCAGTCAATACCAGGGGCCAGTAGTGCTGATACCAGTAGGTTACCGATACTTTTAACCTATAAGATCAGGGGAAAGCTAAGTGCTATGATTTATCAGATTAATCGTCGTTAAATTGCAAATTCTGAACACTTCTAATTACCACATTGTGATTTTTACTTTCCACAGTAATTAGCTAATATAACAAAACACATCTTTCAGCTTTTCATGTATTTTGAAGCTGTTTGTTTGGAGAGCTATCAATATTTGGATTGATCTACACTGGCGCACATAAAGACACAGAAATGCATAACTTACACATTTGTGCTTCTTTTTTTAGTTTCATAAAGACATAAAAACATGTATTTTTTTATTTTTTGTGATCCTTCAGCAAGAACAAAAATCACAAGCCTGAAAACCTGCTATGGTTTGAGTCACTGTTCAGTGAAGGGGCTTAGCAAAGGGTCAGCAGCCAATAAAAGATTATTGATCAAAAGGTCCTAGGGTTTGTGTATTCTTTGATCTGATCAATGTGATTTAATTTGCTGTTATTATGTGTGACAAAAGTGCACAAAAAAGGTCATCTTAGCTTCATCGTGCTCCACATTAGCTGTTTTCGAGCAGCTGCTCACGAGTACCGTGATGGTAAGTCGTAGCTCTTTTCTTTATTTTGCACATAAGCAGGAAAAGAGGTCTTAGTAATCCATGTTACTGTTCTAGGTTAAATGAATAAAAAAGACCTGAAAAACAGCAACCAGCCTTAGCTGTGAGAGTGCACATGGCTCCAGACATCGTCTGCCAGACAACATAAAGAAGTAACTCTGAGTGGTCAATAAGGCTGGAAAAGAGCTGTATAAATGCAGTGCATTTAATAGCAAGGTGAAAATTATTACAGCAAAGGTGGAGTGCAGATATAGACTTATCATGGCGTGTTAAATGAGTTATGCTGCACAGGGCACAGAGCTGTAACGACCAGAAATAATAAAAGGTTTATGATCCCACAGGCAGATTAAAGCAAAATCAATAACCGGACTAAAAATTTTATTTCACTGAATAGGAATATTTTCAGTTTCTCATGAGCTACCTGAGAACTGATGGAGACTGAAGGTGGAAATAAAATGAAAGCAATTCTTGCCCTGTTGTGTCTCTTCTTTACCAAAACATTGTTTATTTCTGACTAGCAGTAAAACACACTGACGGCCCAGACTGACCCTTCAGTCTGTCCCTGTCGGACGTCCACGGGCCTCTAAGTGCACAGGTTGTGGTTTAAAATCTGGAAACAACCCAAACAACTGAGACTCAGGACTCTGTATGGGGAGCTAAAACGTTCAGTGTCAAACTAATAGATGAGGCACATTGAAATGCACAGTAGTTTAAGTAAACTGTTTAGGAACTCATAAATTAACTAATAATTTGTGTTTACTGTGCATATTTTGTTTTAAAAATACAAGATTGAATTAAATGACTTCATTTAACATTTTTTCTAATTTCATAATGACAGTGCCTCTCAAGGAAGCTTAACAGTTACTCTCAGTCTCATGTTAGAAACAAACTAGTGCCATAAGTAATTCCGAATAATCCAATCTGTGGACTTTGTAAATAAACACAGTGCACTGACTCAATAACATCTTATTAAATTAGGCTGAAAACATAGACTGTATACGGAAAATAGAGGCACCATTGGTTGTTAACTCTGCACTTTGAAGGCCCTGGTTCAGCTTCATGGTAATCACCATCTTGTTTTTCAGGAGCCAAGAGTTCTTCTATTTAGAGGAGAGATGGAAGTGCTATGTTATGCATTAGCTAGCTTGCTAGCTTTGCACCTTGCTTACAGAACTATGTTAAGAATAGACATATTATTTGTATGCCTTTTTTATCCATCCATCCATTCACTTATCCTTTTCAGGGTCGCGGGCAGTGTTGGTCAAGTTACTTGAAAAAAGTAATCAGTAACTAATTACCGATTACTTCCCCAAAAAGTAATCCCATTACTTTACTGATTACTTATTTACAAAAGTGATTAATTACTTAGTTACTCACGATTTACAACCTGAATAGGTGATAAAGCGATAGATCTTTCAGCCCAATTCTACTTTTTCTGCATAATCCATCATACAAAATGTAATCAAATGGAAAAGTCTCTTTTTAAAACTTGTTTTATTAGTTTTAATCTTTTAACTTTATGCATCAAGCAAAAATTTAATTATATGCAACATTCTCTGACTGGAAGAAATTTGTTTAATATTTAAACCTATTTTCTGCACATTCCAGCACATAAAATATTTTTTTTGTGTTTACACTCACTCTTTCAAATAGATGCAAGTAAAACACAGCAGAAAATAAATAAAGTCAAAGACTAGCGGTCCTGTTGCTCTATTTTCACCTGTAAAGTAGGAGTAGCGTAGGCAGAGGTTTGCCCTGGTGCAGGTGTGCCGCGGCGGTCAGTTGAAGAATCCGCGAGTTTCTCAGCGCACTTGGTGCTTGCGTGGAAGTTTACGGGTTTTTTCCTTGTAAAGAGAAGTTTTCTTCCCACGCACAACGGACGCTAATGTTTTTGTCACTTTTTATGGAATTAAACTCAAAATAAGGTCAGTACTTCCACGCTTTAAACGCTGCACGCTCATACTCTCTCCTGCATTCGATATATGATCCACTGTTGATCTGCACACAGCTGTTGTCACGAACGTCGCGCTCGCTTACGTCACTGTCATGAGACATTCTGGCAAAGAAAATAATCACGGTTTTAGTAACGCAGTAACGCAGCGTTCCTACGGGAAAGTAACGGTAATCTAATTACCGTTTTTGCAATAGTAATCCCTTACTTTACTCGTTACCTGAAAAAAGTAATCAGATTACAGTAATGCATTACTGCCCATCTCTGGTCGCGGGGGGCGCTGGAGCCTATCCCAGTTGTCATAGGGCGAAAGGCGGGGTACACCCTGAACAGGTCGCCAGTCTGTCGCAGGGCTAACACACAGGGATAGACAACCATTCGCGCTCACATTCAATCCCGCATTCACACCTATGGGCAATTTGGATTAACCAATTGACCTATCCCCACTTACTGCATGTCTTTGGGAGGAAGCCGGAGTACTCGGAGGGAACCCACACAAACACCGGGAGAGCATGCAAACTCCACACAGAAAGACCCCGGCCTGATGGTGGAATTGAACTCAGGACCTTCTTGCTGTGCAGCAACAGTGCTAACCACCGTGCTGCCTTTTTTTATATTCAATATTATTGAAATATGCTACTGAAGACACAAACACAGAAAACAAAGTCAAGATGTCAATTTCAGTGACACTACTTAGTAATAAAAACTTTGTTAACCCTTCAAAGTCCTAAAGAAGTTAAAAAGAAGAAAAAAAGAAGAAAGAAGAAAGAAAAGATTCAAAACAGTTAAAAAAATGTTCATGAAGGTTCAAACTATCCATGAGGGCCAAGATTGTTTTAAAAATTCTATAAATCCACTATTAATACTATTATTTGTGCTATTTCTTTGTGGGTGTCCATTGCAATTGACCCACTTTGGGACTCAGCCTCAAGAGGCTATTAGAGGCCTACTGGTGGTGGTCAGAGGGCCCGGTGGCACCAGTGTCCAGCAGTCTCGCCTTTGTCAGTGCGCCCCAGGGCGGCTGTGGCTACACTGTAGCTTGCCATCACCAGTGTGTGAATGTGTGCGTGAATGGGTGGATGATTGTGTATTGTGTAAAGCGCTTTGAGGTCCTTAGGACCAAGTAAAGCGCTATACAAATACAGACCATAACTGCAATCTGGAGCTGACTTTATTTTTTAGACACAACACAATATTTTCAGCAAAAACAAATGTCTTACAAATATAAATATTTCATAACGTTAACATGTTGATGGACTTTTCTACATTTTGTCTGTGATACATTTCCGTGAGCATTAACTATATTGCTTTATACGGTTGTAATGTTTGTGCATTTATTCTGCAGCTCCTGTGGGGGGCGCTGCAACAGTTGGACAGACCAGCACAGGTGTTGTAGTGAGGTGTCTGGGAGACAGCTACTACATGTCAGCTGATGTCAGCCAGTTTGAGCCACATGACGTAGTGGTGCTGGCCTACAACCAACACGTGGTCATCCACGCCCAGAAGGTGTGTAGGTGTATGTGCGTTTTGGGATTTCTGAATGAGTGAGGGGGAATTAGCAGGGTATTTGTGAACTCTTGTAGCATGCAAATGTGCATGAGCGCACTCGTGGGACCGCTGGGATGCATCACTCATGTCTGGGTAAAGCTGTTATTGTTACAAAATCACTGCAAACAAATCAGCTGCTGCCATGAATTATCATTAGTCATGTCCAATGTTTTGTTTGTTGATCACAAAGTATGACATCTGCCATTTGAATCACTGATTAATATTTTGAATTTTTTAACTATTATGAATGCTTTCTAATTTCCATGGGTGACTCCAATAATTTGGGATTATCGTGAGTTTCTGAAAACAAATACAATAACATATTCTTCCATTCTGACTTAGTCAGAAAGCCCTCATCATAATTTACAAATGTCAATGTCAGGAGTCAGACAGGGTGAAGAGATCATATGACTTTCAACCATAAGACAAGAATAAGTTCTGCTGGGACCATTTTTCTTGCACTTTACCTTTAATGACACTGTTCGGTTAGATTTATGCATTAAGTCAGACTTTATATTATGCAGATAGGTTTAGGTACTAATTGGTTATGATTAGGGACAAAAATAAATAAATCATACACACTTCCTTATACAGAAACATTTTCTTAACATTTCCTTGCCAGACGTATAACAGCTCGATGATTACCATGAGAATAATGAACCAGCATAGCACTTTAACCAGGGGACTCCAGGCATCTATTTCAGCTGTTGATACTTCAACTGAACTCAGAGAACCTGGTCTCAGGAAGAAATTCTAAACTTTGTGTTGTTGCTTCCATTGAACAAGTATAGGTGAATTAATGGTGAAAGGTAGCTGTTTGGTCTTGAGGATTTGACAGTGATTATTCCTTCTAGTGGAAGTATTCCCTGTAGTTATGTTTCCATGGCTGTATAAGGTGGAACATGTAGCACACTCTCAAAAAAGATGAGCTGATGATAGTCAAACGTGGCAGGGATGACAGGGATAGTTAAGTAAATAGAGTGGTCGCCCAATAATCGGAAGATCAGGGGATTGAATCCACCGAACGGCTACTACACTCAACAAAAATATAAACGCAACACCTTTGTTACTGCTCC